TTTTGGATTTGTTTGTGAAAATTTATGAGATTTAAATTACTTAACGGTAATATTTCTCTCTCCTGGCCGGGATTTCTAAATTGCCTAAAATGTCCAGTGTTTTGGCTTTGTTTTCTTATTGTTTTCATACTTACTGAAGGTAATGATTTAAAAGTAGCTTGACCAATAGCATGCAGGCATTGTAAATAATCGACCAATCGTGGCGTGCGAGAAGGTGAGATCTACAGAGAAAGGTCAAAGCAATGTAATACGTGTAAATATAATGTATGAAGACTGTACAAAGCACGTCAATAGGAAAACAAAACGAAAAGTGGACATTTTAGGCAATTTATAAATCCCAGCCTAGTAAAATATTATTAAAATGCTTTTATTATTAGGCCTAAAATGTGTTTTAATGTCACTGTTGATGAGGATTGCATGATCTTTGAATAACATCGGTCTTTAAATGCAAGAAATTTAAAGAGTGCCTGAAGTATACTTGCAATAGTTCCACTTCGGCACAATCAAATATACTTCAGCATATCTTTAGTTGCACAATTAATGTGCATTAAGTACAAAATTAGTTTTTCCAATTTAGCACTTTATTTTACTTTTATTATTACTTTACTTTAAATAAATACCTTTTGTACTTTAAATATACCAGATTAGTATGCCAAAAGTACAACTGCAGGGTATTTTTATTAAGTATATAAATATGTAAATGTATTTGTAGTATACTTAACATTTCAAATACATTTTAGTATATTTTTTTTCACTAGGGCAGCCAGGGCCTGTCCAGAAAAAGGAGGACATATGGTTACCCTATTCCTTCGATACAAATGTAGGCTACACATAAAGAAGTGAATAGTAATTTTGTAAAACATGTGTAAAATGATGTACATTTACATGAGATGAAGCTTTGATTCATATTGGATCATACTGAAAGCCTACAAACTTTTATTTTACATGAAGTGGGTTGAACTGTTGCCATCTGGTCGACGCTACAGAGCTCTGAGCACCAGAACGACCAGATACAGGAACAGTTTCTTCCCTCAGGCAATCCATCTCATGAACACTTAACAATAACTGTGGAACACACACTATTTATACACTCATACACTTATTTATCTAACACTCATACTCAGTCTACACCTCAAATTTGCACATAATATACAGTACCTGTACATACAAAAACTGTCTATTGTAATATACCTGCACATACAACTGTCAATTTATATATTTTTATTCCTTATTTACAGGAAAGGAAGGCTCACCTGGGCTGGAGGGTTATGGCCAGACAGATAACGCTCATCGAGACGACCTCGCGGCGTTACCTCCTCAGCCCGCTTCCACGGCAAATCGAGCCTTGCCGTGGCGCGTTCCATAACCTCTAGCAGCTCATCATACGCAGGGCAGGAGGATTGAGAAGGCTCAGCCTCAGCTTCTTCGCTCCCCTGATCCATTTCCTGCTCTTTCTGGGCTGGGCCCAGCAGAGCACTGGCTCCCGGATCAGATGATGTCAGGGACAAAACCTCATCGTCCGGCGGCCGTCTCTCGTCCGCCGCTGACGAGCGCAAGAGGGAAAACCCCCCTTCGAGCTCCTCGGCCCTGAACCGTGGGGAGCAGATGGCTGCCCGTCTTGACTCGAAAAGAGGGACACAGGAGAGCGGAGCTTTTTCACGGAAAAACGCTCGCAGTGCGCGCAGCCTGCCCCCTCGAGGGCATCGCGCGCGTGCTCTTCGCCGAAACAAACAACGCATAGATCGTACGAGTCATCGGGTGTTAAATAGCGATGACATGGGTACACACACCTTCTAAACGTCCTACTAGTGCTCGCCATAATAAAAGGAAAATCACGACGAGGCGTTCCCCATAGCGACCCCTAGAGGACGCAGTTCGAAGTTCCACAAAAGGGAACTGGCAATAAAGCTCATTCTGATTCTCATTCTGATTCTGATTCTCATGGGGTTGCCTCAAATTCAGCTAGACCAGCTGATGTGATAATTACAGTATGTTTATAACCCCTCGTTTTATTCAAAACTTAATTGTGACTGACTAAGGCCCCGTCCACACGGAGACGTTTAACTGTATACGCAAAAATGTTGTATTGTATTGGCGTTTCGTCCACACAGATCCGCCGTTTTGGGAGAGTGAAACTGCTATTTTTTTAAGCCGGGTCCCAGAGTGGATAAATCTGAAAACGACACCCTTGCGTTTTCGTGTGGACAGCCAATCCGTATATTTTGTGAAACGATGATGTCATCAGCCCACGTCTCGCCCCTAGTCAGACACCACTACGTCACGTAACATCAACAAAAACATGAACAAACACAGAACGATTGTCTTTTTATTAACTAGCATTAACACAGATTAATAAATATATTGTTCCATGTTCGTTTGTATACCGCACGCAAGGTTTATGCGCATAGTCAAAGTGTTCTTCTCAGTTTTTAGTGTATCTCTGTGGCAGAATTACTGTGCCACATGCTGGTCTGGCATGTATACTACATCGTTTCGTGTCGATTTCGTGTGTACGCAGATATTTCTTGAGACGAGGGTAAAAAAAAGACTGGATAGGGAAAGCTCTGGCTTCGAGTGGACGTAGCCTAAGATGATGCTTTATTTTAAAATAGCATTGGAAACAGAATATTTTTGCTTTGTTTGATGATGCATCCACACCATTAGATGTCAGTATAAGCCCAAGACTCATATTGGTCAGTGCAACGAACAAAAACTTACTGAGTGCAACTTTAAATGTGCGATTTTGTTTGATTTTTTTTTTTTTTAAGCCTACTTTGCATGAAGAGATTATCCTGGGTTGACTTCATTTCATGTTTTCTTTAATTTATTTGAGTCAAATTTCTGCATGTGATTTGTTTATTTTTTGAGCCTCAGACCCATTTCTTATAAAGTCAGTCTACCTGCTCAGCTCTTGTGGAAATATATACCGTAGACTCAACACTCTCTAAAAATACTCTAAAAAGTATTTTTTATTTTTTTTGCCTTGGCTCAAGTTTAAGAAAGTCAAACCGAATGGACACAGACATACAAGTATATATGCACATGCTTATGTACTTTTTTCTGTATATGTACTGTCAACAGAACAAACCATCGGACATATTTTGGCGGCATGTATGTTTATACTTGTGGCTTTTTTCAGACCCCTAAGTTGTCTTATTGAGCTGCCCAGAAAAACAGCTCTGTGAGAGAGAGAGCAGTCAGGTAAACATATTCCAAACACGGACGCGCTTTGAGCGTCTCTAGAGTCATAGACTCCAAGACCAACCCTGGGTGAACGCTTAAGTAGACCACACGGTTGAAGCAACAGAGCGTAGGCTGAAGGGGAAATGGGCAAATCGGGGGAGAGAGTCCCCATGGCCCTCTCGCTGCCAGACCTGCACCGCGCTGGGCCCGTTCTTCAGATGAAGCTCTTAGACAGTGACGGCAGATAGTGGAATAGTGTGCTTGGGTGTGTAAGAGGGTGTGTAGGTGTGTGGGTGAGAGGGTAAATGGGAGTGACGGGTTTAGTTCGGACAATCATGTACGTCACAAAAATGGACAGTCATGTTTTGCCACGTTAACTGAAATTTAAATGAATCAGTATTTTGTCTTGTTTTCCAGGTAATCACCCTCAAAAAAGAAATATACATTTTCTTTGGAAGCAAAATTGTATAATAAACCTCATTCAATTTATTTTAATTTATGCTGAAACAGAAAAAATATTGTTTTAAAATTTGTCTTAAAATTTTAATGTTTTCCCACTATATTTATTTTATTTTATTAAAATTCAAAATTTAGATAGATAAAAAAATTGCCAATAGGGTAAGAAAATGTAATGTAATATTCTTAATAATAATAATATTTCTGTCATATGACAACTCTCGGAGGGATTGGCATGGTAATGTACATGAAAATGTTAATGTATTTGGTCTTGGCGGAATAGATCTGCTACGCTGCTGCTGCGGCAGAGCAAGTACCGAGACTTGCTACCGCCAATACATCCACAACATGCTGCTGTGAGCATGTAAGAAATACTGCTGCTGCAAATATAACATACAGTCGTGGTCAGAATTATTATGGTAAATATGATCAAAGGAGGCTGTGAAAATAAATCTGCATTGTTAATCATTTTGATCTTTTATTTAAAAAAATTCACAAATATCTAACATTTCATTAAACTAAAACAATTGAAAATGGGGGAAAATCTAATTATGAAATAAATGTTTTTTCTCAAATACACGTTGGACACAATTATTGGCACCCCTAGAAATTCTTATGAGTAAAATATCTGTGAAGGGGGGGCGCTAGAGAGCACCATATGGTGTGGACGTAAGTTTAGAGAGCTCCTTCAAAGCCTCTTTAAATTTATATATTTCTGACTATTTTCATTGCGAAAGTCTGCTCAATAATATCTACCAGTGAAATGAAGAAGGCTAAGTCCAAGAAAGGTGATTCACCAACCAGCGCAGGTGAACAAAAGTAAAATAGTTGAGTCTCAGGGTCAGAAAACTTCTAAAAAATCAAACAGCACCTACACCACATGTTGTTTGGGAGGGTTTCAAGAAAAAAAACATAAAAGACCAAAATGATTAACAATTCAGAATTATTTTCACAGCCTTCTTTGATCATATTTACCAAGGGTGCCAATAATTCTGACCACGAGTGTACATGAAATAACCCCCATATAGCATACATGAATCACCTAGTAGCAGATCTATACAGGTGGAGCTGGGGAAGGTGGAGGGTTTCTGAAGCACGCTGCAAACTGCTACAGCAAGCACTAGTCATATATTTGAATGTTGAATTGTAAATTGTTTGTTTTAATGATGTTTAGATATTTTCATTGAAATATTCATTAAGAAAAATGTTTTGCATTGTTCACATCATGGCCTCCATGTGCTAATCAAAGTCTAGGTGCATTTTTTGTTCAGTGGACTAAAAAAATGCATCTTTAAATGGAAAATCTGAACCTTGCTAGTCATAATACTAATATAAACCATTTTCCCTGTTTTTCTACTCAGAGACTGAAAGCTGCCCTTGCCCACCATCCAGGGGGCATGGCGAATGGCAGCATGAACTCCATGGGTCATATGATGGAGATGATGCCATCGCGGCAGGATCAGGCCAGTCACCACCACCTGCACTCTCACCCTCACCAGCACATGCAGGGTCCGCCCCACGGATACCCACACCATGCCCACCACCACCCCGGCCATGCACAGAGCGCCCATCACCACCCACAAAGCCACGGGCACCACAACTCCCACCCGCCTCACCTGCACCCTGCACATGGACATCAGACCTCTCCACACCAACCCATGCACTCTGCTGCTTCACAGGTACTGAACCTGGAGGGAGATACAGTTGTTGAGGTTCTAATGCTGCAATATTTGGAGAGTACATTTGATGTGGAGATTGATGAGTTAAGCTGAATTTAACTTTTCGAGTTTACTTGAGTTGGGATAAATTGAGAGAGTGAAACATCAGAAAAAAAAGTTAAACTGGGGCCATGTAGTGAACATCTGCCAGAAAAACTCTTAATAATTATGTTTTTATTTCTAAATTAAAAGTAATTGAAAATAAAATAAAAAATGTCAGGGTGGTACAACTGTCCTAATATCATAATGAAGAACAAATCCTTATTAAAAGAATGAAATTTTTACAAATAAGGTAAATTAATTAATTAAATAAATAAACAAACTAACACTTTAAGTTTTCTTGAAGTATTATTAATATTTAAGGAATTTTTAGTCTGCCAAATCAAAGTTGTGGTGCGACCAACATGCAGAAACACACAGAAAAAAAAATAAAACAGGAAATTATATCTTAGAAAGACACCTGCAAACTCGCGACTGTGTGTCAAGGTCAATACGTCTCTTAAAATATCATATATTTTCACCTAATTATGACAACACAAGATTTGTTCAGGTTGTAAAATGTAATATGATACAAAAAAAAAAATCTTGTGGTCTTAAAAGCATAATGACATTTATGAAGTAATTATAATGTTTTTAAAAATACTTTTACTTTTAACATAATATGTAAAGCATTTTAAAAAATTAAAAAATGTGTACATTCACATGTGTTCAAACTGAAAGGAAAATGTACAGTACTGTATGTTGTTGAAAATGTAAGCTGTAAATGAAAACAGTTCTTACGTATAACTTTCACCACATTTTTGTTGAAAATTATTATAAAAGGTTTTCAAAACTATATGAAATAAAGAGTACATTTCTTAGAACTACTGTATGTGTTTTAAACTAGATTTCTAAAAATATTTTTTCTTATTTTTTTCTCTCACTCTTGTGTAATATTAACCTATCTATTTAAAATTCTGAATCCATCTTTTTGTGATTCAAAGGTTCTGCTTTAATGTATTATTAAGCCAAAGAAGGGGCCCTGTATACATACAAACCATCAAAGCCTCTGCATTTTCCATCGCCTCCAGAAACCTGTAATGATCTAAAGACGGCAAACATGTCAACTGCCAAGCATATGTCAAAGAAGCTTTTTGTGGGCCTTGTGCGCTGGTAGTGGCCCTGTTTCTCAGGGTGTTGTAGAGTATTGGTCCGAGTGGACGTGTGCTGTGGAAAACTGGGCCCTGACACCTCTTTATGAGGGTGGGGCAGCCTGTAAATCACACTGCTGTTTCTCACACCCAGATGTCCATCATAGGACTGTAGGGCCACGTGTACAGGGCACATGTTGTTTTAAAGAAAACTCCCAGACAGGAAGTTTCTGACTGAAGAGGTCTGAGCGATGAGATGGTAGACAGGTGATTGACCGGCAGCCAGATGTATGAATTTAGGGAAGAATTGTAACTTCAGACTTTATGTTGTCCCAGTTATCTCCAGCTGCGCAGCAAATGCATCCGACGCAGACCCTTCAGTCCCCGCCGCCCAGCGGAGGTCGTCGTAGACGGGTCATGGACGAAGATCCCGACGAGCGCCGGAGGAAGTTCCTGGAGAGGAATCGCGCGGCCGCCACACGCTGCAGACAGAAGAGGAAAGTGTGGGTGATGTCGCTAGAAAAGAAAGCAGAGGAGCTCACCCAAACCAACATGCAGCTGCAGGTCAGAATCACTCATACGTACACTTCTCCTCAGCTGAAAGCCTCTGTTTTTAAAGGGTTAGTTCACCCAAAAATGAAAATTAGCCCATGATTTACTCACCCTCAAAGCATGACTTTCTTCTTTAAGATGAATCTAACTGGAGTTATATTAAACATTGTCCTTGCTCTTCCAAGCTTTATAATGGCACTGGGCGGATGTTTTTTTTCAGCAGTCCAAAAGAAGTCAAATAAAGCGCATCCATCCATAATAAAACGTGCCTCACATGGCTCCAAGGGGTGAATAAAGGCCTCCTGTAGAGAATAGATGCATTTTTGTAAGAAAAAATCCATATTTAAAACGTTATAAACACTTTTCTCTCACTTCCGCTAACTGTCGTAGGCGGAAGCCATTCCGGGAGGATGGCGTAGGATGTATGTGTAGCATTAGCTCCGGTGATTAGTGACGAACGCGGAAGCGTGGAGGAGAAACAGCAAAACAAAACGCCGGTCATGAATTAGAAGCACAAAACGAGGATTTGTAAAGAAAAATGTAGGAGGATTTCGATATAAGCCAAGAGGAGACTGGTTTTCCTTTACTAAAGTAAGGAAACTTTGCTTCCTTTGCTCCTGTAAACAAACTCGCGAGGCTAGTATATCTCACAGGCGCGTGTGCGACGCATACGTCCTACGTCATCCGCCCGGAACGGCTTGCACGTATGACAGTTAGCGGAAGTGAGAGAAAAGTGTTTATAACGTTTTAAATATGGATATTTTTCTATTTATTCACCCCATGGAGCTGTGTGAGGCACTTTTTATTATGGATGCGCGCGCTTTATTTGACTTCTTTTGGACTGTTGAACGAAAACGCCCCCCCCTCCCCACTGCCATTGCAATGCTTGGAAGAGCAAGGACAATTTTGAATGTAACTCCAGTTAGATTCATATGAAAGAAGAAAGTCATATACAACTAGGATGCCTTGAGGATGAGTAAATCATGGGCTAATTTTCATTTTTGGGTGAACTAACCCTTTAAGCATTAAAGCGCACTTCGCTTTGGAACACACACTGAGATGTATTTCACGCGGGGCTTCATATTTCACTCGATATTAGCTTACTCTAGACCACAGAAGCTCATAAACACCCTTCATTTGACAGCTGAAGCTACTGTCGACGGAGAGCAGACGGGGACGGCTGTGGGGAGGGCAGGGTCAATGGGTTATTGAGGTCTACAGAGTTACCAGAGCAGAGCCAGCTGCAGCTGAATGTGTGGTTTGTAGGCCAGTAAAACCTCTGAGCATCACGACACATCTCATCTGCGAGAGGTTTCCATTCGTACGCATCCATTTGGGCTCTCAGTAGACCTTGAATTTGCATGGAGATTTACCTGAAAGATTGTGTGTGTAGTCTTGTAAGTCTGTTTTTGGAGGATGTTTGAGTGTATCCTGCACTACCCACAGCTTAACCCAGTCTAAGCTGGTTTTCAGCAGGTCTCCAAGCCTGATTGAGCTGGTGTTCAGGTGATCGGCCGTCTGGCATCCAGTCTGACCAGATGACACGTGTCTAAAGCCCCTCTAAAACCATAAAACCAGAACAGCTTGGTTGGTTTGGGCACGGTGATCATCCCGATCAGGCCACATCATTCACTCTCTGCTTATCTGAGTGAGCTGAGGTTAACCTGTCTCGCTCAAGGCCACAATAGTCGATGGTTCACTGGTTGCAGTTTGTGTGGTTTTATCCTTTCAATTACCAGCCTACATTTTTTAACCACTAGGCAACACCACCCTCTTATCAAAAGTTCCTACTAGCGCTAGGCAATGTAAGGATATTTGGGATTTGGCTGACAATATAAAATTAAGCAAAACTTTGAATATCGTAAAGATTTTAATTCATTTTTAATTTATTTTGTAAACCCTCTTTGCCTCATGACTAAAATCGAATCAGTTGAAGACACTGATTCACTGATTCAAATGTTCATTGAAGTTTATTTTTGGCAATTTCCATATATTTAAATATTTACACTGTAATGATCAGATTACGATGGTACGATTTTTCTTCTCTCCATGCTCACCAAGAGCTTATTTGATCAAAAATACAGTATAAATAATAACTGTTTACTATTTTAAATTGATTTAAAAATGTTTATTCCTGTGTTGGCAAAGCTGAATTTCAGCAGCCATTACTCCAGTCTTCAGTCACATGATCCTTCAGAAATCATTCTAATATGCTAATTTGATGCTCAAGAAATATTTATTATTATTATCATCAGTGTTTAAAACAGTTGTGCTGCTTAATATTTTGTGGAAACTGTGTATTTATTATGTATTTATTATTTTTTGATGAATAGAAAGTTCAAAATGGCATATATTTGAAATAGAAATCTTTTGCAACATTATACAATTATATATTATTTACTGTCACTTTCATCATTTTAATGAATAAAAGTATTAAAACAAAACAAAAAACATACTGACCCAAACTTTTCAACGGTAATGTATATTTAGCAAAAACATATATGTAGGCAAACATTTCTGTTTATTATGATGTATTTTTATACTGGTGTAAATAAATGGTGCATACTGTATATACATTTTCTATATAATTTGTCCTTTCATTTAGTTAAAAAAACCTTGCCTTCATTGTTGCTAAATTTTTATGGTATTTTAATCATTCTAATATGCTAATTTGATGCTCAAGAAATATTTATTATTATTATCATCAGTGTTTAAAACAGTTGTGCTGCTTAATATTTTGTGGAAACTGTGTATTTATTATGTATTTATTATTTTTTGATGAATAGAAAGTTCAAAATGGCATATATTTGAAATAGAAATCTTTTGCAACATTATACAATTATATATTATTTACTGTCACTTTCATCATTTTAATGAATAAAAGTATTAAAACAAAACAAAAAACATACTGACCCAAACTTTTCAACGGTAATGTATATTTAGCAAAAACATATATGTAGGCAAACATTTCTGTTTATTATGATGTATTTTTATACTGGTGTAAATAAATGGTGCATACTGTATATACATTTTCTATATAATTTGTCCTTTCATTTAGTTAAAAAAACCTTGCCTTCATTGTTGCTAAATTTTTATGGTATTTTGCTTTTTTGATTTTCAAAAGGCTGAAAAATAGTGAGAGATAATTTCACCCAGCCCAAGTTCCCCATAACAATAGAACAAAACATGTTAAATGTGTTTGTTTTTCTTTGTTATTGCATAGTTTGCCGAGGTGGGACAGAATGCTCATAGACACTCTGGCACTCCCATAGTCCCACTGTTCAGGCTTGTTTTGCCTTTTGTGAAATATTCACCCCACAGTCACAAACATGGTACCTGTCAAAGCGAGGATTCTTCTCCACCAAGCATCCCTGAAACGCTGCCATGTTTTCGTATCGTTCTGCTAAATCATTTAATCAAATTCAAGAACTCTGTGTGATCAGACGCTCGTGTTTCCCACAACGGTAATTGCAGAGAATTCACCGCCTGTTCATTATGAGGTTTTCTAATGAGACCCAGACTTGTCTGGCCTTTAATTCATTGTGTCTGCTGGGAGGTTTGATGTGAAGCTGCCAATACATCCACCAGAGACCTTTTTCCAAGATGTTTGTCATAATTATGTTAAGTATTGTATGGTTTATGACAAAAACAGAACATCATAAACATGTGTGCCTTTGTTTAAATTTGTTTACATACTAGGGAACCATAGGGGCTAACTGTCACAAACACGGCTTAAACTTAATCTTAAACTACATAGGAATTTCAATAAACAGTAACTCTTAAGCAGTCAAATCCAGGACAGACTGTATCCAGGAAACTTGTACTTTGTGAAATATACATGTTTTTAACTGTGAAATAATGAGGGACATTTAGTTTTGATTAATTTCTGTTGCTACACACTATGTTTTGTTTTATGTCTTTAGCCAAAGTGTATGACTGGATCTTTCACTAGCAATAAGTTATTCAATTCCATGTAATCACTGAGGGATTTTTCTGAGGGATGAGTGTTTCATGTTATCATTGTTTTTGTTGGCAGAACGAGGTCACCATGCTAAAGAACGAGGTGACACAACTGAAACAGCTTTTATTGACACATAAGGACTGTCCCATCACCGCCATGCAGAAAGAGTCTCAAGGTTACCTCAGTGAGTACTATCACGCACCCACACGGCCAGAGGTGACATTACGTAATAACGGATATACATTATATTGTTTGTAGGACACACCCACTGATATAGATACTCCTGACATTTTTAAAATGTATGGAGGCTGCCACTCCCTGGTTATAGAGGAGGGCAAAAACACTCATTTTCTCAGTCACTGACAAACCAGTTGCCTAGCAGTGTTTATGATGCAGAAATATTGTTTCCATTTTCACTTTGAAGTAAATGTCTTCAGGTGATGTACACTCCCTGTCTTCTTAAACTTCCAAATTCATCAATAATGAATGAAGTTGTGAATATTTAAATATTCATTTCAATGTGGTGTTTGTTATTTTCACATTATTGTCCTGTCTTCTCATAGGAAACAAAAATCACAAATGAGATCTCGTAAATATCTCAGTTGTTTTTCCTAAACTATATACGGATGGATGGATGGATGGATGGACGAATAAACAGATGGATGGATGGATGGACGAATAGACAGGCAGACAGACAGACAGACAGATGGATGGACAAATAGACAGAGGATGGATGGATGGACGGACGGACAGAAAGACAGACATATGGATGGATGGATGGATGGATGGATGGACGGACAGAAAGACAGACATATGGATGGATAAATGGATGGATGGACGAATAGACGGATGGATGGATGGATGGACAAATAGACAGATGGATGGATGGATGGATGGATGGATGGATGGACGGACGAATAGACAGACAGACGGATGGATGGATTGATGGATGATTGGATGGCTGGATGAATGAATGGACAGACAGATGGATGGATGGATGGACAGATAGACATATCTATGGATGGATGGACAGATAGACAGACATATGGATGGGTGGATGCATGGATAAACATCGATAGGTAGATGGATGAATAGATGGATAGACATATCAATAGGTGAATGCATGGGTGGGTGGATGGATGGATGGATGAATGGACAGATAAGGAATGGATGGATGGACAGATAGAGATATGGATGGATGAATGGACAAATGAAAGAATGCATGAATGGGATGAATAGACAGATTGATGGACAGGTAGACATATTGATGGATGGACAGATAGACAGACATATGGATGGGTGGATGGATGGATAAACATCGATAGGTAGATGGATGAATAGATGGATAGACATATCAATAGGTGAATGCATGGGTGGATGTATGGATGGATGGATGAATGGACAGATAAGGAATGGATGGATGGACAGATAGAGATATGGATGGATAAATGGATGAATGGACAAATGAATCAATGCATGAATGGGATGAATAGACAGATTGATGGGCAGGTAGACATATTAATGGATGGACAGATAGACAGACATATGGATGGGTGGATGGATGGATAAACATCGATAGGTAGATGGATGGATGGATAGACATATCAATAGGTGAATGCATGGGTGGATGTATGGATGGATGGATGAATGGACAGATAAGGAATGGATGGATGGACAGATAGAGATATGGATGGATAAATGGATGAATGGACAAATGAATCAATGCATGAATGGGATGAATAGACAGATTGATGGGCAGGTAGACATATTAATGGATGGACAGATAGACAGACATATATGACCCTGGACCTCAAAACCAGTCATAAGGGTCAATTTCTTGAAATTAAGATTTATACATCATCTGAAAGCTGAATAATTAAGCTTTCCATTGATGTATGGTTTGTTAGGACAATATTTGGCTGAGAGACAACTATTTGAATATCTGGAATCTGAGGGTGCAAAAAAATCAAAATACTGAGAAAATCGCTGTAACAAAATTCGTAGATTGGGAAGAAGGAAGTGGGAACCGGCGAACATTTAAACACAAAACTTTAATAAACAAGTGAACGAACACAAAACGAAAGTAAAAACGGCAGCCCCTCACGGACGACTGCCGCATAAAACATACTATAAGAACAACATAAAATCCAGGCCTGGTCCTCTCTCGTCCTTCACTGTCGTTACTCCTCCTTTTATCTTTCCGGAGCTCCTCCATGGGACTCGAGACCGGTGAGTGGCGCAGGTTTCGCTCATTATCATTTACTCCACCGGCCTCGCTCCGTTCCCGCGGCTCTCGGGCCCGCCCCACTCGTCACAATCGCCTTTAAAGTTGTCCAAATTAAGTACTTAGCAATGCATATTACTAATCAAAATGTAAGTTTTGATATATTTATGGTAGGAAATGTACTAAATATCTTCATGGAACATGATCTTTACTTAATATTCTGATGATTTTTGGCATAAAAGAAAAATGGATCATTTTGATCCATACAATGTATTGTTGGCTATTGCTACAAATATACCTGTGCTACTTACGACTGGTTTTGTGGTCCAGGGTCACATATGGATGGATGAATGGACAGATAGACATGAATGGATGCATGGATGGACAAACAAGCTAAAACGACAGATGGATAGATGAAGGAAAAATGGACTGAGAGACAGAGACATCTGAATGGACGCAACCAGACATCTTCATCTCTCCTATTGTCCCTCAGGTCCAGAGAGCAGTCCGGCAGGAAGTCCCACCCCTGTAACCCAGCAGCAAGTCATCCAGCACAATACCATCACCACCTCCAGCACAGCACCCAATCACCGCACAGATATTAACTCCATCCACTAAAGACTCCACCCCTGATGCCCCCCACCACGCTGGACATCCCTACTGCAAATTCTGGACAGACACACACACCTCTGTGCCTCTGTGGCAGCTTATTGTTCTGTTTGTGATTTGTAAATGTAAACTGATTACCATTTTGTTTAGTTCTGTGTCTGCATAGGGAGTCTGCATAAATCATCAGGCACCATCTCACTTGTCAAGGACATCACTAATGGAAACGCAACTGTTACATCTGTTCATGGATTACTGCTGGACCACTGCCTTTACAAATTACAGAATTCAGATAGCTGGATAGCTTTTGCTATGAATTTTCCATTGCCAGAAAGATGCTGTCCTTTTCCTTTCTGTTTATTGTTATTACAATTACTCTCACATTCCCCTTTTTATCAAATTCAAAAGGATAAATTAGGAAGGTCAGTCTCCATTGGGAGTTCCTAATGAAAGTAACCTGAAGCAATATGAATCTCTGACATGCTCAGCAATCTGATTGTCTTCACTTGCTCGCTCGGACCAGAATCTAGATCAGATTAAGTTCAACCTATTAGCTCCTGTCATTTCAGATATAATCCCAAAAGTTATCTTCGTAAAACAAAACGGCTTTCACTCCTAAAATGGTACAGATCATGTAAATGGAATGCATTTATCAAGCTCACACAGGCTTCTGTGATCATATGCCCTGCTGAACATTTCGGAGTATTCCCAGAGTGGCGAGATCACAGCTGCAATAGTGTTGCACCAGGAACATCTCACTTGGCGTTCGAACGTTTCAGAAGACACCATCAGCTGTTTCATTTTAAGCTGATGTAACTTCTGGTCAGATTTACCCCTGGTCCTCGTCAGTTTGCCTATTACTTCTACTGGCAGTTCATTTCGGTATCTGTTTCAGATCAGCGAGTGGACTAAGTATTACGCACATACTTCAATACATTTTTATGTATGTTTTGTGCTCATATGTGGGCCTTCCAACCACATTCAAAACACTCCATCTAATCTTGAACCAGAATAATGCCATGGAAAACTTTTGGAAGCTTTTGCTTTACCTGAGGCTATGGAAAAGTTCCACTGAAGTCAAATGCATTGTTAAATGCTACTTAAAATTAGCTTTCGTTTTGGCTTGAAGTATTGTTTAGATCTTCCTCGGGCATTCTGACTGTGAGGTAAATTAAATTTAATAGGATTAAATGTAATAGGATATATTTTGATACATCCCAGTTCATAGTCCTGGTTTGTTTGGTGCCTAGGAAATCATATGAGGCTTCCTTCTTGCCATGGACCATGGTAAATTCTGCACTTGACTATAGTACTTAGGAAACTGTCAGGCTCCATCAAAGGTTCTGGAAATGTGCTGTTGATTTTGAGATGTTATTATTACTGTAAGGGGCCGTTCACCAAGAATGCATTTTCGCGTTTATAACATGCAAAAGACAGGTTCTCAGGATTCGTTTGCACTTCGTACAACTTGACAAGGAGCAGAGACATGCAGTGCAATGCCATTTTGTTGGCTGTCTCAATCACAAATCCTTCCAGTGCACTGGAATGTTTGCTTCTTAAAAAAATCTCACAACGCACCACAAAACCAGGGCACATTTATGGCTACTGTGTTCCCTTACCAGAAAATACATCCCATTTTCTGAACCGCCTCAACTCAGTACATATCATTACACGATAGAAGTTTTGATGGTGGCATTTTACAACTCAGAAACAGTGTCTCAATGTGTAATGAGCCAGGGTTCTTACCAGTGCACGATACACTGATTCACAACCTAGGGAGCTGAATGAAACACACCCGAATAAACGTCACACAATGGAATGTGAAAACGCATTCTGTGTGCCCTAATAATAACATTCCAAGGTGAACTTTGTAAGGGATGTATGGGCAAGATCCCATATACCTCATGAGTGCATGATCATGGACCATGAGCTATAAAGATGGCCACTGTCACTTTAAGATATTGAGTCCTAAATACCTTAAAGACGGTGACACACCAAACCAACATTAAAGAACTAGCGGCGATGAAAGGCAACTGTTGTTATCTTGCGTCGCATGTGTTTGGGCCAAAAAGTTGCTGCAAAGACTACAGCCAAAGGCCAGCTAGTATGCACATTCTGCATATGCGTGAAAGGAAATAATTTTCCATACCAGCAGGTGGCAGTAGTTGGCAACAGTGTTCTGCATTCAAAAAGGGAAACCGAACTACATATATACAAACCGTAAACAAAGCAGTGTTTTTTTTTTTTTTTTTACAACTTTCTTTATTCCATATGTTATTTCGTTGCCATATCATTATGAAAATATTTGCATACCAGAATGCTCAGGTAAGATGTGAAATTAGAACAGCCATCTGTGTGCAGCCTCTTTGTTGTTTGCTTGTTTTCGTCACTTTTGTTTTTCTTCTTGTGCACTGGTTCGCTAAGCTAAGCAGCCAATCCAGCGCTACTTCACAACCAATTCGTACGTACTTTACGAGGTGGCTAATATGTACAAATGTGTATGACTTCAATTATTCGATTTTATATGATTTCTGTGAGGGGTAGGTTTAGGGGTGGTCATTCGTACGAATTTGCCTCCTCGTAATATGTGCATGATATTTTTCACAAAATGTACAAATTCGTACTAGTGAGGTTGTAAGAATTCATACAAATTAGCCACCTAGTAAAATATCTACGAATTGCCGTGAGATTGAGTTGGCCAATCAGAGTGATCTTTCTCACCGACTCCCTGAGACTAATTTAACATGCTTAATTGGCCAAAAAGCCACCGACAGGGTCCGACTAGTAGTGACGGTGTGGAACTGACATTGGCAGACGGCCGATTGTTGGCTTGGTGTGTCACGGACTTTAGTCGCATTTTCCTTGTCTAATTGCAAGTAATGACACAATTTGGTCCACTTTTGTTTCTCTCCGATGCGAAAATGTAGCAATTTACTATTTCCACGCAGGTACTGATCTAGACCAATCTTCATACTGCTTTCCAAATGTCACTATGTGCCTGAATATGTCTTAAATACTCACATAGGGAGGAATGTCAGTCCTTAGTAATACCTTGATATCATTGCATTTATTTTCAATTCAGGTTGAACTTTAAGGCCTTGACATTGTTTAGCTTTTTTGTAAAGACTAATTACTAGTGTTTTATTGTGGACACTGTTTTGTTTCGGACTCATTTTGGTGTTAATGGACTTTTCTACCTTCTTGAACCAAGGAGGCCTGTGATGAGAATACAGGCAAGCTGGAATGTTGGAATGTTTCCCCTCTGCCGAAAAAGGGCCTTTTTTCCAGCAGCTAAGCTCAGAACTCTGTTTCATGTTTTTCACAGTTTGTAGAGGACTTTTCTTCCCTCCTAAATGGAACATATTGATTCCCTTCGCCTTTCCTTGCAGCACTGTGTTTGGAACAAAAGCGTGCAAAACGACCTCCACATTGAGAGGTGGAAATCTTGTAGCTGTCTATGCACTTTGACCTCTGCGCAGCAGAGGATGGAATAGCCATATAGAAGACTCAGCGATTCGCAGTTCCCACACCAGCGAGAGCCAGCCACTGTCAATCTATGGAGCAACACAACTTGTACGGACCAATCGGATTAGGTTTCGAGCGGATGACCTCCGAACCGAAGGCTTGGGTTTTGGCGGTGCTCCTGTAGCTTTAAGACTTTAAACTGTCCCTTTAGAGAAAACCTGTTTGTCACACTGTGAAATAGGTGACATCAAGGTGAACTGGAAACACGACTGTGCTTTTATTGTTGATTTTGTTGGACCTTATGGTGGTTTGGTTGTTTCCCAGCATAGTTCACATAGGATAGTTCACCCAAAAATGTACATTGTCATCATTTACGCCTAATATCATTTCATACTTGTATCTTTCTTATCTTTCTTCTGAAAAACACGAAAGTACATATTTTGAAAAACTTTTTAGAGTTTTGTCCATACAATGAAAGTCAATGGGGTCCAAACATTTCAAACTTCAAAAAGGACATAAATGTAGTGTAAAATAAATAAAATCACTGATTAAATACTGTATGGTGACACATCAGTAATAGAAAACCTCATTGGTTCTTGCGTCACATGATGTCACAACACAAAAACCAGTCAGGTTTGATGTTACTGCTTTGTTTCCGTATTTTATTTGTGCTCTGTGTAGATTAGTTGATCAATGATTCGATTTGAGAGCAAATAACCACTTTGTTCATTGATCGTATCATTTCAGAAGACTGGAGTTGTTTGGATTACTTTTATGCTGCCTTGATTTATATTTTGAATCTTGAAACTTTTGGACCCCATTGACTTTCACTGTATGGACAAGAAAATGCAAAAAACATTTGTCAAAATATGTAATTTAGTGTTCTGCAGAAAAAAAAAATGAGTGAAGGTGAAATTACATTTACTGTTGTTTGACAATTTTTTTGCGAACAAAATTCAGTAATTTGCACAGGAATCCAAGAGAACAAGAATTTCGTGTGAGGGAGAAAGATTTCCTCACTCAGATTTCGCAACTGATTCACCGCACTAACCAACAAAAACTGCTTGGTTTTAAAGTGTCCATAGTGTAGAGATGTATAAAGCACAGCTCACACAGACTTCAATAGACAATGGACCTTTTTTGCCCAATGTGACCACACCTAAAATGATGATCGCATTTTTTGGGTGAACTGTCCCTTTAAGTAACTCAAATCAACATTCAGTGTTTTCTGTGCATGTAGCATTATAATGTGGTTTCGAATGGGATTCTGATGCCCACAAAGGATGTGGGTTTCAATGTTTTTGGATTGTGAGCTTGAAAGTTAACTTGAGATCTGTGTATGCATGCATTTTCACTCCCGTTGGCATCTCAGACTTCACACTCACAAGTTTTGCAGTGTTTAACCCTACGTGATGATGGAATAATATGGTGGGAGGGGCTTGCTAAAAAGCAGTTTGGATCTCCATGGAGGACTTTAAACAGTCTAAAGTTGCATTTTATTTCATCTCCTGCATCTTTACATTTCAAAGCAAGGTGGTCAGGAGCGTATCTGCGCAGGGCCACGTCATCTCTTACCCAAGCAACATAACATTTAAGAACACACTGAACTGGAAATATTTCACTTGCTCTCAGTGAGTAACATACATTAATCTCAAATTGTTGATTTGGCATCAGTCCTTGTTAGGATGGGTGGATGGATGTCTTTTGTAATAGCATTCTTTTAAAACGGAGGGAGATTTTTTTTGTGTGTGCGTGTGAGTATATGTGTGCTTTTGTGTGCATAGTTTTTTTTTTTTTTTTTTTACATTTTAGGTGGCGGACAATGAATACACATTAATAAGACTATAAATGTATCATTGCAACAAAACTATAAATATTGTATAAATTTTCATTAATTTTTGTAATCTTGTTCCCATAATGCAACCACCTTTCTTTTTGAAAGGAGTACATGTTTGGTACATGTTTGTAAATAATGTTTGCATAGCACTTGCAGTCTTCAAATGTTTGCCTGTTTATTTCAGAGCTGAAACATTGCATTGTTTGTTACGCATATTGAATTCATGAATTCACACACGCTTGCATAACTTTGTATATTTTATATGTTTATTAATGCCTTGAACAGTTTGTGTTTATGCAAATGTACAGATGTGAGATCACTACAGCTATATTACAATATGAAAATAAAGCACTTGTTCTTTAACAAAGCTCTGCCAATTCATGATTGTTTAAATTGAAAATATAAGATTACAGCAGTTGTGAATTTAAGTATTGCTTTTGACATTTTTTCCCCCTGTTTTGCATATAATTTAGAACTTGAGTACATCTGAAGGTGACAATCATAAAAGTTCCATTTTTATTTGATTATTTAATAGGGACCCCTGGTGGACAGATCTGTCCAATAAGGATTTTGATACAGACACACACATTGTGCATTACAATGTAAAGTAGCAAATAGAACTTACAAAAAAAATCACTGAATTTAAATGAGCATTTATTTTGCTCAATATTTATGCACTAAAAGCATTGATAAAAAATACTGTCACATACATGTTTAGAAACAAATGTGCAAGAAAGATGTACCTGTACACAACAACTTGTCACTGGGGCAGAACCCTTCAATAGACAAATTTATACCTTTTATACAAAAATATAAAATGCCTGCAGAGTAATTAGGTTTAAGCCTTTAAAGGGTCTTTTATAATGCCATTATGTTCTCAGGATGAGAAATATTATAATATTAAAAATGTCCCTGTCCCTGCAGATAACACACATATATAGCCTTATCATCATCATCAAAATAATGCCAGTTTATGAAAAAATCCATTATCAATTAACTTTACATTTAATTTATACAACATGAATGCATTTCATGTTGTATTTCTATAACATTGGCTGATACCAATATATAATACATTTTAAATGCAGTAAATAAGTTCATTATATATACAATTTATTTTACAGAATTTATATAAATTATATTTTAAATAAATTATGCACATAAATTATAATTATAATAATTTATATATTTAGAACAATAATAATAATAATGTTCTTATATAATACAAATAATTTATTTTTTAATATATTTTTAAATAGAAAAGAGTAATGTTTGAATAGGATTAAATGGTTGCAAAAAACAACAACCTTGTTATGGCCAGTAACCAAGAATATTAAAATTGGCATTAAAAAAACATGCAGTAAAATGTAGCATGAAGTAATACAAGCGCCATATACATTTTAAGACATTAATTGTAGAAATGCCACAAATCTTTCGTAATTAACAACTAACAATATGAAATATTCGTTCAGTGATAAACATTGTTTTGTTTTGTTGTTTATCACTGAGCTGTCGCCCCCTGCCGGACACACAAAGGAAATACTGTTAAAACACAGAGGATACAAACGGCTGAGAAAAGTTCAAGACACTGTTCATTAAAAATAAGAGCGTTTAATTTTTTTTAGCATGTTGTGCTATTGGCGAATCTACACATCCTATTTAGCCTATTTTTGATTTACACTCCTAATATAAAATGAACCTGCTTCCTTCCTGTGAAAGTAGGTCATACCAGGCTTGAATGTCTACCTCTGTATTTTTTCCTCTTTCTTGTGTCTTCCTCTTATCCTCTGTATGCACTGAAGCATATCTTTTATTCTACAGTTTATAGTACAGCTTTACAGGCCCTATCAGAAAACTAACATAATAACACTCAGGTTACTTACTATAATATTACTGAAATACTGTCCCACTATAAGGAGAGGTTATTCTTTGGTTACGCTTTAATTTTGGGGACCAGTTCTCACTATTAACAACTTTCATCTCAAAATCCTAATTTACTTTTTTTAATAGTTAGTAAGGTAGTTGTTAAATTTAGGTATGGTTAGGGTAGGGTAGGGTTAAGGAATCTAAGCTATGGTCATGCAGAATGAGGCATTAATATGTGCTTTATAAGTACTAATGAACAGACAATATCCTAGTAATATGCATGATAATAAGCAACTAGTTAATAGTGAGAATTGGTCCTTACAATAAAGTGCTACAGCTTTTGTTGTTGTATTTATATAAAAAAAATAACCTTATGGATTCAAAATTAAAAGACAAAATAAAAGTAGTACATTATACTCAAATCATACTTTAATCAAAAACTGATCATGTACAATAAAAACATAGCCCCTACACTTAACACATAGTCCAATAAAAATATAACCCCCCAACTCTTTTCATAATAGCACACAAACTTTTGCATTGAAAAACACATTACACAACTGAACAATGATTCATTCAGTGGTCATTTTACATTCAATATGAGTTTAGTGTATCAATGTGACGAGAATCCATCTGTAGAAAGGAATCTGTCAATCATGTCAAAGGATCTCTCTGGTTGATCATAAGGCAAAATATGCCCGCCTCCCCTGACAATTACCTACAGAGAAGAAAAAATAAATTTGTTATGAGTGAACATGTCATGAATGTATTTTTACAATTGGTATACATTGGCATAAGCCAACGTAATTACAGCAAATGTTTTTTATAATAATAATAATAATAAATGTATTAAATGTAACATTTATTTTACACACTATTTAAATACATTTACCAAATTATTATAGTTATTAAAAATGAAAATTAATTGGTTTATCTACTGATGAGGATGTAAGCAGATTTTAGAACTAACAATAGACAGAATAGGTATGGCTTTCAGCCAATGATGATCATTTCAAAATTAGATCATATATTGGATGATAAATTAAATATATTGATCTAGCAGTACTGCAAACCCTCACCTGAAAGAACTCTCCCACTTGTCGTACGTAACCTGCCACTTCAGTATCACTAGGCTGGACCTTCCAGTGGAAGCGCTCTACTTTTTTATACTCGTCCGCTTTAGACCAGTTCACTGTGGGCAGGAAGCGCTCAGTCAGAGGGGCTGCAACGATGACATCAAGCTGTCCACTGTAGATCAACACCTGTGAACAGACGATTAGATCCATCCCACAGATTAATCCAAAGAGAGAGTTCTGGACGGAAGCAACTTCCTACATATCATTTTTTAAAGAAAAGTCATATTAAAATTTTGAACAGTTATTTGTACATCTCTCAATTGTCATTGTATTGCTTTGCATTATGTTTTGCTCCACAAAATAAAAACTACAAAGCTTTGATCATAAAACTAAGCATTTAAATATTTTACTAGGACATATTATTATAGAGTGACAGCTAATCAATAATATTAATAGTGACGTAATATTACGTCAATATTAATTAATAATACTAATAGTGACGTGCTGAAGATGCGTTTGGTCTCGTACTCTATCGCATACCTTGTCAGTGTCGTGCGCTTGCTTAGACCTTTGTTGTGATAAACAGTAAAGTGTGTTCAGCTGAATTCAATTTCCTTTTTGTCCGACGGGTATAAAAAAGGTTAGTATACCGCGGCAGTGGTCGAGGCAGC